AACACCTCAAAAGATTTTGTGTAAAGCGTTTTCCTGAAAGGGATGAAAAAACAGAGATTGGCATGTAAGTCCCAAATAAGGGTAACAGAATTATGCAGGGATACAATGATGTTACCAACGTGATTGATCTTTCCTGAGCTAAACCGCATGGATTTTTAAAGTGCTGTGAGTTAGAAAACCCATATATGGTAGTAAAAGATGAAAATTGTAAAGTTGTGTATCATTAAAGCCATTCACTGACAATCAGAATCTGTTAACATCACCTTCTCTCTGAGCTCTGCACATGAACGTCTTTATAAATGTATTACAGAAAAGAGATCAGTATGCAAAAGTTTGAACCTCTTAGATTGCTATAGGGAACTTCTAAATTTTATCCTAGGCAGTAAGCAAGTGACGTTTCCACACCAGGAATTTGTGACTTCTGTGATGTCTTTTGAAGAATAAATATCATTTGTGTTCATGGAAGTAAGCCTTTTATTACATAACCTAACACTACTGACCACTGAAACTGGGACCAGAAGAAGACTGATGGTTTGATATGACTAGTCTGTGCACTGGGGCTGTAAGGCTTGTTTCAGATAATTAATCTGTGGCAGTTCCTCTTTATCTGTCTTATAAAATACTGTATCTTATTTATTTGTTGCTGTAAACTATGCAAAATAACTCTGTGAGGTGATTGATTTCCAGTAGTTTATCCTTTTTCCTAAGGCAGAAATAGTGAAAGATATAGGACACAATGAACAAAATGTGATCTCCTCAGAAGCCTCCTGATCCTTGATGTCAGATACTGGCTTAGCATGGCTTTCAATGCTCCTGTAACATCCTCGTGCACAACTGGGAGTAGCAGTTGATAGAACAGAAGGTTGTGCTACCATTCAGCACAAGGCTGGAAAATGGGCAAACAGAAATAACCCCTGACATTGGGATGGGGCTGGCCATCTAGAAATCATTTTTTCAGAAAGAGACCTGGAAGTTCTGGAGGACAAGAAGTTGAGCAAGAGCCAACGGTGTGCCCTGGTCACCCACTGGCATTCTGGGCTGCATTAGGAAGAGCCTGAGCCAGCAGGTTGAGGGAGATGGTCCTTCCCCTCTACTCAGCACTGATGAGACACATCTGTGTGCTGTGCCCAGTTCTGGGCTACCAGTACAGGGAAGGCATGGGCATAACTGGAGCTTCTTATGGCTCTTACTCTTTTTATGGGCGTAGTTTTACTGTTAAAAACTAATTCTATAAAAACAATACCTTCTTCTTCCACTGCACCGTTCATTCATTTATCCAGTACTTCTTTATTGCTTTTCACATAACGTCGATGTGTGGCACTGACACATGTCAGAGGGAGTTGCATCCTGTAGCTGGATTCACTGTTGCCTGAGGGCAGAGCTGTGGACGCAGGTGGAGAACTACAGTGTTGACATGGAGGGCTCAAGCTGTGGGTATTGCGGGTGCTGTTGGTGTCTAACTTAACTTCAAGGATGTTGTAATCACGGTGAAGCCTGAAAATGGGGAAAAAATGAGTACAGCTCTTAATGCCAGGTTTGGCTGATTGCTTAGCAGTTAAATAAAGAAAACATTGTTACTCAGAATGCGTTTGCTTTACAGTGATTTCAAGGAGCACTACTCAGTGTCAGGTTCCACACAGTGATACATTTACTGCTACCCACTTTTCATTGTAGAACATTGTCTCAAATGCGCTGATTTGTACAGGGGTTGCAGCTCTCAGAAGTTATGCCCTGTAATATTCTATGTCCGAGAGTTACTGAAGACAGAAAGATATCTTGCATTGTTTAATTTCTTTCAGAAGTGTAGACTCACTAGACAAGATACTGATGCAGTAAGACAGTATTTTGTTGCATATTTTATGTTCTGGGAAGGGATATTTATATCTACTCTTTGGCCCAGATTCTAGAACAACTGCCAGTTTCAGAAACAGCAATGATTAATGTGCTAAAAAGGGAATAGAACTGCGTAGAATTGAAGTTCCCTATGGAATGTATATACATAGTGTTTATGTGTATATACATACACACGTATGTTTTGGTGAGGTGGAGAAATGAGGGAGTGATAATTCTGATGTTGCTTTTTGTGCTCTCAAACACTTCTCTTTTTTTGTCAGTATTTTTGTCAGTATTGTGTACTTTAATGTTTTCATGCTATGCATTTTTTTTCCTCTTCAGTTTCTCTTTTTAAAACCCGTGAACTGAGGTTTGCAGTTATTTTTCCATCGGTATTAGTAATGTAATTTTTCCCCTATGTGAATAACATCATAGAAGTAGAAAAAACCCATCTGTTTCAGAAAAAAAATCAAAGCTGACCAAAATAAATTCTGTAATTTGAGTTGATTGCTGACAGGCAGTGGTCTGTCAGTGTTTTCCATCCCTCTGTCTCCACCACCTTCTGTTGCAGTGGCAGTGTGCCTGTGGGCAGTGTATCAATGATTTAGTCTTCATTGCTGCAAAGGAGTCTGTTTCTTAATGTAAGGGCTGAAAATCCAGAGACTTCTGCAAATTTATTTTATTAAATAAGGCGAAAGAAAGTGTTCTACATTCTTGTAACTACCAACTCAGAATTCAAGACTCAGTTCATGGAGGACCTTTTCTGAAGCTCACTAATGTTCCTGTAAACATTACCATTGGCTTTACTTAGTAACTGACTAAAAAAACAAAGAACAACTGCTTGTGCCTTATTGTTGGAAATCTCACCATTAAAAGGCATATTTCATTGCTTAACAGTTCCTTCATTTGTTGAACTAGATAAGAATAAAAAGTATTAGATTTTATGGTTATAATATATCTAACATTTGCCCTTCTTAAAATTATGAACAGACTCTTCTCCAATTGATTAAATAGAGAAATGCAGGACTAGAGCACGTTAGGTGAGGTGTTTATTGTCATCAATACATCTTCATTTACACAGATGAAATGAGAATGCTAAATAGTTTAGAAATCTGTGTTTCAGATAACTGGAATTTTTAAAGAATCTGCTTGCTTTTGGTAGAGATGTTTTGGATAACCAAGTTTGTATAGTGGACCAAAACAGTCACTAGTGTAGTGCTGCTGGAAGTTAAACGGTATCTCATGCTTTGCCAGGGTTCTGTCTGGAAGATAATAGGGCCTTGGGTTAGGAAGGCACATTAAAAAATAAAAAAAGAAAATAAATTCATCAACAGTGTATTGTTTTGGTTAGAGTGTCACTGCAAACCACATAGAGATTTTTCTTAAGGCCTGTGGCGTGGTTATACGGGCTGTATGTTCAGTGTTCCTCTTTATATAGCTTTGAAAAAAACCCAAAAGCATGGGTGAGGTACAACTTTGTTTATGCCAAAAGTTTTTTTCTGTAATGGAGAATAAATATGCATGGTTTAAGATTTTACTGCCTGTGTGCCTGACTTTATAGTGTGTACAGTTTATGTGCCATCACGGTGACTCCACACGAAAAGTTAGGCCTGGGGGTATTACAAGCTTGAGGACCACAGGTGTCAGGAGAACCCTCCTGTCCCTTCTTGTTGTCATTGAGATAATTATGAAACTGTTCTGGACCTGTCATGACGTTAAGGTGTTCAGACCACAGCTTTCTAAAAATTCTCAAAGTCACCCACGCCTGGAGGCATAAAAATGTCAGTAGCTTTCCATGGCTGCTTCTTGACTTTCCAGAGCTCTTTGAGGTTTTGGGCAGTGTGTAAGTTACTATTGAGCAACCACAAAAGCCCAGCATATGTCTGGTAATGCTGTGCGTGTCAGCTTGGTGGGATGTGATGTACAGATTGCAGTAACCCTGGTTCGGTGGAGTCACCATGTATATGCTGAGGTGAGCAGTCAGAGTGAAAAAGGAAAAAGAGAAGCTTTAGTGTAAGTTTGTATTTTTAAGATAACAGTAAGAAAGCTGCATTGTTTCTTATTCCTCCATAAATGGCATATGGATTTCTGATATGTAGGTGAGAGTTCTGTAATCTTCTGTGGGATTTCCTACCAAAGGGCAAAGAAATGTGCTTGAAAGGATAGGAGCTTCATGCACAAAACCCCACAGTAGGCTCAGTTATTAGTGAAAAATTTTAAAATTGCAGAATGCATTCAAATGTATACAATAAAACAGGAATTTATATTTTTTTGAGTTAAGAGTAAAGAATATCCAGTACCACTGGAAAGAATTAGGACGTTGTATTTGAGGTCACAGGTAAAATTGTCTAGTTAAGGAACAGCTGCCAAAAGGCATTGGTATAACGTTACAATGCACACTTCCAAAGAACTTGCTGTACAAAAGAATTCAGTTGAATTTATGTCAGCTTTGTCTGTGTCATCATAACTAACCTTCGTGCCTTTCAAGCAGCTTCTCACTCTGATTTTCTTTCTTTAATACGGCTTTCTGGGTGTCTTTATACAGGCTGGTAAATAAAAAAAGGCCCTAAGGACCATGTTTGTTACTGTTAGGACAAAAATCTTGATTTCAGAGGGGAAAATACTGATGTTGCTAAGCTTCTCTGCAGGTACTGCTTGTTTTTCTGTTCTCTTTTGAATGTATTTTGCTGAATCTCTCATTTCTAGCTCTGGTTTACCAAGTGACAGTTCTGCACTTTGGGCCTCTAACTTGATTACTTACAAGTCCACGCTTCCTAGCTAGGGAATGAATGCTAGATTTTCACATCACAGAGCAGGACTGGTGTATAAAACAGTGCAGTAACTCTGTGATGAGGTTTCTGTCAGCTCTACACTCCCAACAGCCTCTCTGTTGATTTAGGGAAGTTTGGGAATTTAATACTGTACCTTGGCAGGTCACCTCTTACAGGAAACCATATATTTACTTTGGCTGTGTGTATGTCTGCTCCCTCTGCATAAATTGATCTAGCAACTGTAAAAGAGAAGCCATTTATCTTTTGCCAGTTAGTTTGATTTATTTATTTAGTAAAAGTAGTTTTTTGTGTCTGAGCCTCTTGAAACGGAGAACCAAGAAAGCTACTATTATAAATACTACTTGCTGAAATTATTTTTTTCCTTCCCTTTTTCAGATGAGAACTCTCCAGCCAATTTCTGGGATTCCAAGAATCGGGGAGTGACTGGCACGCAGAAAGGACAAATTGTATGGCGCATTGAACCTGGCCCCTACTTTATGGAATGTGAGTACTTATTTATCCAGTGTGGATTCCAAGGCAAGAGTGCCTTTGTGTCAAGGCAAGTCTATGGCATGGCATTTGATATCCGTTTCATCAGTCCCTCTGATAAACTAAGGGAATTGATTGTGTTGCCCTAAGGGGCAGCATTTTCCAGTGTTTTTCCTGGACATTATAAAAATGGAGTTGATCTTAGATGTACATTTGTACTCTAGGGATGTTCTTAGTGTGTTTCAGTTTAAGGGAGGAAGAAATTGCCTTGTGCAGTGTCATATACTATATACACAGTGAAAGTTGAAGTCTCTTCCCAAAGTAGCTTCAAGTTTCAGCTGAACAAGTATTAATGGTAAATGCATGTGGAGGAGAAGGTAACGATGTAGTAGTGCTTGCTAATGTTTGTTAGTATGAAGGGTAGATTTGTCTGTAGGAAGTGCCAGCCTCCTGTTCAGTTGCATCAGAATTTCTCAGCTGAAGATTTGTCGTGCTGGGAAATCCACTGGGCAGTTTGGAAATACTGAGAGTCTCTATATGACTGAAATAAAAAGTCTTCAGTTGGACTCTGTAAGGACTGTCAGTAGCCAAGCTTCAAATCAGAGAGCTATGCCACTCCCTTAGACAACTGGGATTTATAGGAAGCTAAGCTACTCTGTTCTGTGCTATTTTTTTTCTTTGTCTTTTTGCTTTTTCATGAAACAGAGGTATCTTACCATTTGAAGTACATGATCCCCTAAAGAAACTGAGGTTCAAATCCTAGGATGTTGTATCAGAGCTTGCTGGAAACTCTGATGTGCCAAGCATCAAAGTGGCAATCAGTCCCAAAAGAGCTGTGAGTTGCTCTACCACCTGTTTAGCCTCACAGTAATGAATCTTCCTGCATAAGTTAAAAGAAAAAAAATACTCCCACTCTTCACTGTACACTGCAGTGCTGCTAACTGTAGGTCTTGGCAGAAATTTTTATTCTAATTTACTGATATGACAGCACTACATGTATTTCAAGAGGTGTTTTATACTCTGTACTAAAAATAATTATTAAAGCTTCCTGTTTCTAGAACTCATCACTGCATCTTGCCAAGTACCCTATGTGTTACACAACACACTTTATAATTAAAAAAAAAAACTTAAATAGGATAAAATTTAATTCCATTTCAGGAGCTCATTACAGGAAAAAATGATTGAACTGAAGATAATGATCAAGAAAATAATAAAGATCATTAACTGTCCTGTGCCAAAGACAGTGGTATATTAAAGCAGATTAAAATGTCTGTTAGTAAAATTCATTGCCTCATCTTTCTTGTACATATACTCCATCAGTATTGTTGCCAATAGGGGCAGTTTGACTTCAAAGATGTTTGTATCTTTTAGCTGGTTATGCGTTGCTCCATTATGTATTGAGATGAGGCTCTCAAACAACATTTTCAGTTCATGTGAGTAACCCAAACTAATGCTTCAAGGACTAGTAGTTTGGACTTAAAATCAGCTGCAAATGACTTTGCACTTTGCAACCAACTGCACCTCACAATCAGCTGACAGAAGGAGTGCAGGATGTATGTTCTTTGATCATGGTTATCTTCACTAAGGAGCAGTTCTGCTGCCATACAATGAAAAAGAGACAAGCAATTATGCAGCACCTGAGAACTGTAAAAAGGAATGTTTATGAGCATATGTTGCTATAGCACATAGTATGGAAGATAAATATGTCACCAGTGACACTTGTATTTCTAGTGAGAGGCCAAAAATTATCTGCATTTCTGATTCCACTTTTTATACTAGAGGGCTCCACGGATATGTGACTGTGTTTGCTCTGCAAGCCTTTTTCTTGTAGCTTAGAGGTGGTGAAGCAACTCTGATGCAACTACAGGCAGCTGCTCTTTTTTTTATTTTCTTTTTTATTCCTGAGATCACTAAATCCCGGCTCAGGCAGACACAGCAGGTGGCTGCGCAGTTCAGGTACAGCCACAGTGTTACTGCGGTGCAGCACCAGGCTGGGTGTGGGAAGAGCTGTGCTGTCAGGGTGCTCACCATGCTCTGCAGACACCGTCACTGCCCACCCAGCCCGTGCCAGCCACAGAGACAAACTTAGCTCCCCTGTTGGCCTCTTTCTTCTGTTGCGGTGCAGATATAATTTGTCACTCAGTGTAGCACTGCATGTGATGCTACTGTCATAGCAAGAGGGAGAAACAAATGAAGAGGCTAATGTTCCCAGGAAATGTGTGCCAGATTATTGAGTATAAGGTATTTCTGCTTTAATCTGCCATTATTTTCCAAATTTGGGAAAGAACTCTAGAACTGTAGATTTCTTGTTTAGAAATATCTTTGCTGAGAGGCAGAATATGTCAGATACAGGTCATGGCACATAGGGTTTGTCATATTTATTCCTCACAGTAATGACATGCAGCAGACCATTAGCAATGTCCCTGAATTTTTGAAGCAGCAGCTCCAGTAAGAGACATGGACAAAATATGTAAATGAATCAATTTAAAATCATCTGGAGACTAATCACAGCATAGTAATATGGGTTGCATCCAACCTCCTGCTCTCAAACTGGGACCAACACTTGACCTGCCTGGTCAAGTGTGGTTTATGAAGCACATTACTGAAAACCCTCAAAGACAAAGATTTTACAGATTCTGTAAGTAACCTTTTCCAGTGCTGCATTATTGTCCCAGTTAAAAAGATTTCTCTGGCATCCAATATGAGTGGCTGTAGCTTAAATTTGGGGCCATTGTCCCTTTTAAAATCTCTGATAGAATGGGAAGGAGTTGAGATAGTAACATCTATTTTGCCTCAACCTAGTCTTCACCAGACTAAACAATGACAGTTCCTTTAGCCTCTTCTCGCAGGTCACATTTTCTCCATCCCAATCATCTTTGTAGCCCTTTGCTCTCTATTCTCCATGTTCTCTGTGCTCTTGAACCTAGGGACCCAAAACTAGACAGAGTATTCCTCACCAGTACCAATGCAGAGGGGGACATTACCTTCCATTTCTCCACTGGTCACACACCTTTTAACGTATCCTGTGATTTGTTTTATTTGCAGTGAGAACACGTGCTGGCTCGTATTCAACTTGGTAGTCATCCTGAGCCTAGTTCCTTTCCAGCAGGGCTGCAGCTTTGCCAGTCTGTTCAGAGGCTCTGGCGATGCCTGGGATTGCTCCACCCCTGGCGTAGACACTTGCAAGCCTCTTGAACTTGGTGACATTGCTGTTGACCAATCCTCTACCTATTGCTTATGCTCTTAGGTATAGAGAAGCTCCAGGAGGCTGATGGAAAGCTAAGTATGGAACAAAGGTAGAGCTGGACTCCCGACACTACAGGGTTTTCTGGATTGGGGCTGTTTTATGTTTGGAGCATGGACAGTACTTAATTTCTACCACCTATACACTGCAATACCTGTATGATTGCAGTTTCCCTGCTCTACCTCTACACAAGGAGAGAGGAAGAATGTTTGCTGCAAGCCTCAGAAGCACTGAGCCAGCAATAAGGACTGATGATACTTGTTAACAGAATTGTGCTGAACAAGTGCTAAGTAACCACAATAATCCTTTAGGGTTTACAGTCGAAATTGACCTAAAGTTGTCGCATCTTTTTGGCAAGAATGGGAACGTAAGTTACTAATGTTGAATGATGAGTTGTGATCAGTCAGCGTGCACAGCGTGCACTTATCCCAAAGACTTTGGATGTGGTTTTCCCCCAGCAGTGTCAGAGCTTAGGGACATTACTTATCTTTCACCAGTCACATCTCTGGAGGGTGAAATGCAGAGGATTATAGCATCACTAACAAGCCATATGCAGACAAATCTCATGCAGAAGGAGCATTTCCATTTTAATTGCGTTAATGTTAATCAGTGGGAGTCAGCTGGGTTAGGCCTGAGATTCCTTCTGCAAATTCCTTCTGCAAAAAGATTTGTATCTTTTAAGAAAAACATCTTATGCCTTAATTTGGGAAGCTGTTTTTCCGTGAGCATAATTGTAAATTTATTTATAGTTTCACCAAGGTCTGTCAAATTTTTGCTTATGTTTAAAGATAGGCCTTGGATAAGCATTTTTCTGAATTTTGTATTACTGTGTGTCCTCCGTATTGTAACTCAATGTTAAGGTCATTTAATTTATTCCTCTTAAAATCCCTCCCCGTGGATTCAGCATCTTCTGTTTTTTTATTCAAGAAAGTAGCGTGTAAAGGCATAGTTTGCGATCTGCTCTATTCACATCAAACAACCTGCAGAAAGGATGGGGGAGAGTCTCATCTTCATGCTAAAAACAGACATTAATTCCCCTCAAAGCATCCAAAATTAGCAAAACAAGGATGATCAAAGGAAACTCTATTTGCTTTAGACAAAAATCAACACAAAAATTCTGTAGGATCTACCCTGAGAAGGGATCATCAAAGGAATCAACAGTGGCGTAATGAGAAATGAACTTAATGTATTCCAGAAAAACAAGCAGCCTCTGAGGGGAGTGGCTGAGGAAGGGGAGGGGGCGAAGATTATACAGAAGAGAAGGAAAATACTTGCAAAATACGAAGTCCAGTTCACCATCAGGAACAGCTGGTGTCCTTAAGCTGTCACCTCGAGACACAGTGAGTGGCTCTGAACTGCAGGTGCTCCTCTTTTTTCTTTTTTTTCCCTGGGGAAGGAGAAGAAGTGCTATATAGGCATGAAAGGGAACTCAGTCATCTTAGAGATTCAGGAAGGTGAATCTGAGAATCAATATGCTTTATATACTCTTTCCTTACATAGTAGAGGTGGCTTTCAAACATCCTGCTCTGAGGCTTGCTAAAATGTGAGGGAAGGAAAACAATGACTTACTAGATGGCTCCCTCAAGTTTTTTGCCCCGTAAACTACATAAGGATTGCTAAACACAGCCGTAGAGTTTTCATCCTTCTCCTGTAAAAAGAAACAGGTTCAAGGAGTATTATTCTGAACAGGTGGCAATAGTGTGGAAGTGCAGAGTTTAATGCTTTTGCATTTGGTATGATCATCTGGTATTTAGCATGGCATCAGGCTGTT